TAACCTATGTTTCCATTCATTTTCAGGATTACCATACCTAAGAGAATATCCATCATAGGGCTCCCAGCAAATCTGATGCCACACCCCAACTACGAAAGTTTAAGAGATCGCTTAGATTTTTGGAGTGCGCACCGATATTGTTCAAATACTGTCTGTTCAACTTATTTAATGTGATATGAGGAATTAGTTATGCCAAATCCAAACATAATGTTTGTTAGCTATTAGAGATATGCAGTCTCAATGGTTTGTTTCGACGATAAAACGATAATCTTGTCTTCGTTAAAGGATTATCCTGTTCCATTAACATCTGACGATGCCAAACGTGGAATAATAAGTCTTGTCGAACGAGGCATTATTCCTCAAGGAGCTCACATTACACTCGAACCACCGCCGATTCAGCCGAAAAAGTCAAGTTTATATGATCCAATAACACGTTCAAGAACAGCAATTAAAGGTAACACCCTTTTACTAAGATGAATTAAAAATCAAATAAAGCTAAGAGTACTTTTTACTTTTAGATGAGCCAAGCTCATCGATTTATCGTTTGGATAAAGACGATTATCAACAAACAAGTGATCCAAATATGAGTCTTGTACCATTGGATCAACGGGTCAAATCAGCATCACCTCAGGATAAAAAAGATCGTCTATCATTGACGCTTAGTGAGAGTGATCGAGATTGTAGTATTATTATGAAAGAATCAAGAAAATCTTCTGCTAACAGAACAGCGACAAATAAAACCATGCCAACGATAGATGGTCGTCAGCCATTACCAACACCAGCATCAACGTTTGAATATAAAAAAAACTTTCGATTAGTCATTCAAAACGGACTGACAAAAGATCAAACAGAAGATTTTATACAATACAGACAATATTATTGTCTAATGTGGGGCAGGTCAGTTTTATTTTTCAAATAGTAAAATTAAAGAAAAAACTAGGCATCTATTTTTTCTTATAGTATCATCACCGTATTTCGTATGTTAGAAAAACTGATGCATGATTATTCAATACCGATTGCTTTTATTAATGGTGAAAAGTAAGTTCTTCTCGTCAATATATTCAAATTGTAACGTGTCTTTATTATTTAGAGTTACGGATATAGCTCAAACAATTGAACATGAACATAAACCAACGTTAGAAGAGTTGTTGAATGTTATTATTAATAGAGATGATGTTGAAGAAATGATTAAAAGACCGGTACGTTGAATATTTATTATGTATGAAAATATATATTTTACTGAGTTAATCTCATTTTTTAGGGTCGCCGTTTTATCGGTCCTGGTGGTCAATCTCGCGCTGCTATTGTTATTCAATCGTATTGGCGTTGCTTTCGGGATCGTCGTGCATATGTTCGACTACGTAAACGAAAATGGGCGGTTGGTGTTATTGCTCTTACCTGGTTAACTTATTGTAAATTATCAAAAGTACGTCGACAATTGAAAGTTATTCGACGTCGGCAATTGGATTTTTTTGCGAAAAAACAACTAGATTTACGTCGTCGATGGCCACAAATTCAATCACAACGCCGTGTTATTGTCCATTTACCATCCTTGGGTTTGACACATCGTGTTCGTCGTAAACTAAATAATTTACCAGTGCGAGAAAATTTTCAAATTGGGCGTTTGTGTGATATATACGATCCAAATGTTGATGTTATCTATGTTTCACCAATGCCTATTAACAATGAAGTATTGCAATATTACAATAAATTAGTTAATTTAAGACCATCGGTAGAAAAGGGAGAGTTAGTTCAACAAGATAATGCACATAGATTTATGATTGTTGTACCGGAAGCACTGCATAGTTTTCCTGTAAGTTAAACGTCTCAATTTGGAGAAAGAGAGAAGGCTAGTAAAACTATGTTCATTTGTTTCTCATAGACTCATAGTATGTGTCTTGCAACACTACTGAAATATAGTCCACAAGCACTGAAAAGGTTCGTTTTGAAAACATTACTGTACATTGCTCATACCATTCTATTATATGTCACTCTTCTTTTTAGAATTAAGAATTTGATAAGAGGTCGAGAAGCTTACATGGTGACAGGCGTATCCCATTTCGATGATTTATATCTAGCTGAATATCTTGATATAGCCGTTATTGGTACGTCTTTGTTGTAAAACAATTTTAAATTAACAGTAAAACTTTATTCTTTTTGATATTTAAATATTCGTGAGATTGTTAATCTGAAGTCATTCTAGGCTGTGAACCTGAAGTATCATATTTGTATTCCTCGAAATCGGGATCCAAACGTGTATTTGAAGCAGCAACTGTACCATTACCTTATGGAGAATTTGATGTTTATAATCAACAACAGGTACAGAATTATAATAAAATAACCATAATCTGTAAAAAGAAGTATGAGTGTGACATGACTATTCTTTCAATCATTTTTTGATAAAACATAAATGGAGAGCTACAGTTCAGTTCGTCGTTCGATCGTCAAGAATTGGATGCATCTTTTCTTGAAAAAACAAGTGTAAAGAAACTTCTTTCAAGTTACTTTTCTAGATCTTTTGAAAAGTCAGCTCTTTATTCAGACTTTGACATGTAAATAGTTTCGATTTGTACGAGAGTGCCAATTGTCATGTATTGCTCAACATGTTCAACTTGTGAAAATTTTGAAGAATTATTCTTTTAGTGGTTGAATTTCTAGCTTGATCTGAACAAAATCTTCACTAAATTCAGTGAAGTTACTTCTTTGGATCATAATATTTAGTATAGTGACAACTTATTTCATTCGCTGTTTGTCATCACAGAAAATCAGATGAGATCAGCAATGGTGATGACAGGAAATCCCATGTCACTTGTGAACTATCGTAGACGGAGAGCTCAAGTTGAAGCACTTGTGAACACGACAATTGGCACTCTCATACAAAATGAAACTATTTGCATGTCAAATTTTGAATAAAGAGTGGACTTTTCAAAGATCTGGAAGAGCGACTTGAAAGAAGTTTCTTTACACTTGTTTCTTGACGATCGAACGACGAACCGCAGCTCTGCGTTTATGAAAGAATAGTCACACTAATGCTTCTTTTTACAGATAACTATTTTTATATGGCAATATTTTTAGTTATATGAATCATTAGCTCAATTAATAATTGAACATTTGGATGTACAGCGATGGTTATTCAAGATCGATGACGATTATGACGGATTAGGAATTGCCTATTGTGATGTTGTCAAATATCTACCCTGTTACAAAACCGTACTAAAAGAAGCAGCGAGATTTGGCGATAAATGGGCACATAAATGGGCACAGGTATCGTGTCAGTTTCACATTAATATATTATGTAAAATTATACTGTTTATGTTATCAGGAACATTCATATGCAAAAGTTTTGTCTGAATTACCTGATGTACTAGAGCAACATACAATATATGTGAATAAAACTCAATTTTCAAATTGGAATATATTTTTAAAAGTATTTCTCACTCAAGGTAAGTTATATGACGATGAAGACATCTCTTTTTCAAAGTGAAATTGATGAATAATTTGTTTAGGTGGCATAATCGAAGCATATCCACCGTCGGATAGTGTCACATCGTTAACTGTTTGTATATTTATTGAACCTGATGGTCAAATTCGCGTGTTATGCAGTGGTGATCATTTGCATGCCGAATCTGAATTTAGTTGTTGGGGTCTATCGTTTCCTCAGTCAAGCGTCGATCCAACAGAATTAAATTCATACTGTCAAAAAATAGCCGAACAATGTAAACAAAGAAATATATTTGGCTATCTTGACATTGATTTTGTAACATTCATTGATGCCAAATCAGTAAGCATTGGTTTCTTCGTTTTTAAGTAGTTATGGCAAGTTCACATTTGTAGGATAAACAACAATTATGGGCAGTTGATTTATCGATTGGTTACAGTGAACATGTATCAATGTATAATGTAATGCGTTATGTAACCACAGGAAAATTCGATAGTTCACAACATTTATTTGATGTCAGTATTAAACAAACAAAACGACTAAGAAACTGGCAAAATGGAGCACCCGAACAAACGGTAAGTATAATAACATTAATTATTACAATACAATCTATTGTCAACATCACGGTAGACATTCTGAATTACACGAGCTGAAGACACAAAGTTAAGCAAGTTAAGGCCTATTCTCTTGAGTAAAGTTGTGGCAAAAGTTTTCTATGTAATATTAAAGCAAAGAGATAAACGATTTTTTGAAGTTATTCATAATTATAGGTAATAATTGAAAAATATTCTGATGAGGATGTTATGTTTATTCTCGTAGAATTTGAACTACTTTTTATACATTTTAGACTATCGCAAAAAGTCGTTATGCCGTATGGAGTTCTAGGTTACATCATACCAATTTATCCGTATTACATTATAGTGTATTTTTTCAAATGTGTAGAGCTCATGGAGTGGGATTTGACATAAAAGTAAATGTTAATATTTCTATCTTTCTACTTCACTTAACTCTTTCTTCAACTGTAGGAAAAACAAGGCAGTGTATTTACATTGTTGGAATGTGATCGACATGAAAATCTTGGCATGATTTCAATTGGTGAAACTTTACAAGGAACATTATCAAATTTTGCCTATAATCTCAATTCTATTAATCAAGAAATAACTACAAATAATATGCAAGGACGAACAAACTTTTTAGTATGTACAAAAATAGAATCTTTATATGTGAAATTATATTTTAATATTTGTTTAGCTTGCAATCAATGATATTGAAAATATATTAGGTATAACACAAGAGAACGCCTCCTCACCAACATCCTCAGATGCTGAAAAAAATAAATCTAATGGAGACTGAATCAATTATTCTTATTCTCTACGGGATTTTATTTTGTAATCTTGCTCAAAGAATCAAAAAACCTTTTTTATTTTCTTTGTCTCTCATCTATCTCTACTTCTTCGCATGCTTTATTTCGTTTTCTAAGCCTCTCTTTTTATAAACCTAAATGTAAGAAATTCTATAGCTAAACTCATAAAAAGTTAAACATTCAATAATCAAGAGAAACTAGTGATGACCTGCAGACAATGATCCTGATGTTCTTACTAAAGAATAACATAACATTATAAACAATTGTTTCTGTCCTTCCACTACTTTTATGATTCACATCTTTCATCTTTCGTCGTTATCAACAAAGTTCATCTACGAATACTTTTGTCGTTTTTACTTGAATACCCGAAGTATTGATGTTTAAAGTCGATTCATTGTTTTTTTCAAGATTCAACTCATTACTCGATAACACTAAAGTATTTTTGTATCAGTATGTTACGAGTGGTGGGCAAAGACTTGAGATACACGATACACATGGTCTGGATAAGTTGCTTACTAATGCATGAGAAAATTATCAATAACGATTTTTTGTCTTTTTTTCTTTCTCCCCTTCAGCATTTGGATTCTTATAAAATGATGTCTTTCTAGAGCAAACAGATTGTTTCTCTTTTGTCTCTCTCTGTACAGGGTTGCGAGAAATGTTTTGCCCGGGGGGTATAGCTCCAATGACAAATGATGTCAATACTGAATTTTATACCAAATGAAAGCTCGTGAAAAATGGGGTTAACAGGTACAGTTAATAATCCGATAGACTATTGTCACCTATGCAGAACGAAGTGAATTTCTAGATAAAGGCGAGATAAAGGCGAATCCTGGACCGGTCAATATTTTCGTGACACAGTTTTAGTTCAACACATGTTTCCTTTCTTGAAAAACGAAGAAAACATGACTGACGTGGATGAAGTCATATTTGTTCACGATAAAGCACCGTGTATGAAAGCAAATATGACTCAACAATTGATAAAAGACAACAATATCAAGTTTTGGGGTGACAATATTTGGCCCGGAAATTCACCTGATCCAAACGTAGCTGAACACATTAGAACAATAATCAAAGATGAAGTTGAGAAAAGAATGCTGTCAGAGACTGGAAGTGATCGGTATAGCGAAGAAACATTGAAAAATCATATCATCGATGTTTTGCAAAAC